TCATTTGTTAAAACTACTTCATGATCAACTTGTGTCAGTAATGAATCCTCTGATGATTCATTATTTCTGCGATTTAGCAAGTCTTTAAAGAGACAATAAAATTGCTCTGGTGTGGCCTTAGCCGCATTAAATGAGTCATGAGTACGCATCATTTTATTAACCTTTTGCCAAAATGATTTTGATCTTTTATCAGCAAGGTCTTGTTTTAAACTTTCTACTGTCTGGGCATCGCAGATTTTCTTTTTTAACGCACACATCTCCTTAAGTCTTTCTTTGCTTCAAGGAATTTATCCAGATCATGTAAGCTGTTTGTTCTATGGAAATCGTGGAGGTGAAGATATTTGATTCTCTTTAGCCTTTCACATTCGTTATCCCACCACAATGGTTGATGAAGCTTACTGTGCTTTCCTTTCTTTTGCTTACTGGTTTGCATGTCTCCTGCAGATATTTTAATGCATTGTTGTAGAACATTACAGGCAGAGTCGACATCATTGAGACTTAAACATGACAAAAACATGTCATGTTCTTCATTTAATAGTGATTCAAGCTTTTCAACATAAGTGCTTCTCATTGTTTCTTTCCACGTGAGCTGCAACAACCGGCTAAGTTCAATCTCACATTCAACATTTTCACTAGTGTCATTATGTTCAATGTAAATTTTAAACAACACTGACAGTGGGAAATGATCTGAATCTGGCCTTGGCATGACAGAAAAATTAAAAATTTTCTCAAACAATCCCTTGCTCACAATAACATAATCAACAATTGTTTTTCTCTTATTTGGAATGCAAGTGACATTCCCTTCCTCATCTACCGGTGTCCTGCCATTCGCAATGTACAATGAATTTTCTTTACAGAAACTAACTAACTGCTTTCCATAACTATTTGCAAAGGAAGCGTCCCGTGACTTTCTTTGGGTACAAATTTCTTCTAAAACATCATCCGTGTCTTCAAAACCAGACAAAAGTTCATGTACATTATTTTCAACAAAGTTATCATCAAGACGTCCTGTCCTAGCATTCATATTCCTTCCGATGATCCACTCAACTTCTCCTAGCTTATCGCTAATATCATGATATGTCTTCACAAGAGACTGTATACCTGTAACATTTTCATTGTTATAATACAGGCGAAAATTCATGCGGGAGGTAGGGGAAGCATAGGACAACTTTACGATTTGTTTGTAAACAGGTCTCCTGCAACAGTAAACAAACACATTCTTGTGTGTGTGTGTGTGTGTGTGTGTGAGAGAGAGAGAGAGAGAGAGAGAGAGAGAGAAAGTGAGTGAGTGAGTGAGTGAGTGAGTGAGAGATCAGTTGGACATGAATGTTCCTGAAGCAATACATGTAATTTTATTGTAAGGTATGAAAAGAACGAAAGAACAATATGTTAAGCAGTTATGCATTTTTATTTTTTGCTATTCTTCAGCTTCTGCTATACTTTAAGGTGGTTGTCAAAACTGAACAAATCAATTGTAAAACAGTGTGATTAAAAAAAAAAAAGTCTAGTCTACTCAATTGGTCTCACCAAATTCTACTTAATTTTTAGATGACTTTCTAAAACACTGTGAGGTTTTTTTAAAGATATAATCAGAGTTGAAAAGAACACATCTGAGGTTCTGTTATAGGCAATAGAAAAAAGACCCACTGGTTTGAAAGAGGGGAAAAGCACTTCCTGGCAGTTCATTAATGGAGTAAAGCTGAATTAACCGACAGTCATATCACCAGGGACGATCTTGTTGGAGTTGAAATAGTCCAAATCTTCTTGACGACATGCCGGTCTCAAGGCCTTGAAGTGAGCTTGCCAAAAGTGGAGCCAGAAGTTCCAAGTTGGGTTATGGTAGTCGGGTTCAAATCCATGCTCTGCGTTGAAATCAGGCCTGGTGAGATTGTGGACTTTCTCGTAGTACGGAGCATTCTCGTAGTTGTAGAAATCGTACCAATAATCCGATTCGATTTTGCTGTTAGGATCGGTGACCACGGCTTGAGGAACGGTCATAGGTTGATAGGGATAGTATTTTGGGCTGGACGAATACTTCTGCCACTGTGTGCCATCGAAATAGATACAATGGAGGAAGTCGTGATAGTCTAGGTCTGGCTGTTGACTTTTGGCCGCTGTTTCAAAAGAGGCACCACTGGCTGTTGGAGAGACAAATACAAGACAAATCACATATGTCAAAAGACGCACCTTAAGCAGTTTGGTACTGCGATAATGTATTTGTGAGGCATCGTGCTTACATCAGGCGCTCGTCAAAATAATGAAATCAAAGAAATCGGCTTTTTTGGCCCGTGTGCAAATTTTCTAATTTTGTTTGTTGTTTTTTTCTTGTTGTTTTTTTTTGGGGGGGGGGGGCTCAGCACGTTTTACGTAAATTTAAAAAACACATTTTTGAGCGGATTTTACTGTAAATATTGATTAAAGGCACACAAAAAATGTAACTTTTCAGTTTCCAAGTACTCTAGGGCTATGGAAGTTACCAAACTTTGCGGCCATTTTCTCTTAATTTTACCTCTGAAACCAGGCGACCCTGAACTACTTGACTTGCAAATGTTTCGATTTCCATTCAACCTAGATGGATATTTTTTTCACCTGAAGAAAGGCAAACGAACAGGCTTTATAATGATACCAATAACCCGTTATGCTCAAATATTGACGAGAGCCTGTTACCACCACATTTGATTCTTAAACATTGGAATTGATTCTCGCCCTGTAAACATCCGTACTGAAGTCGACAATGACAATCAATCATAATAATGTAGGGCATTTTTATACCTACACCATTTTGAACAAAGCTCTCTACTGGGCGCTTTATATATTTGATACAAGTATAATAATGTCATACTGTAATGTAAGCCGATTTCAAAGTATTTGGTTGTAAATTAGTCGACGGCCATTACCTTTCCGCGCGGTTTTATGCGAGAAAAATCCTGAAATTATGCAAACTGAGCCCCAAAAATGTAAAATTATTCGATTCTGTTAATTCTAACAAAGAATGATAAAGGAAAATAATCAGAAATTATGCAAAAATTGATCAAATTTTGCTAACAAGTCTTTCTGACCAACGTTTCTGTAACTATGTAAGATAACACAAGCACAAAAATACCAAAGTAGATCGAGATTTCATACAATAAATAATCTACGCATTTTAACTGAAAGTAAAAAGGACAATAACAAAATAAAGCTATTCTGTAGCGTGCAAGAATTACAATTTGCATCCAGTACACGAAGTTTTATGTCGCGCCAGTTTGGACCCTGAAATCCCCCCCCCCCCCTTTAAAAAAAAACAAATTTAATTGTCCCTCTATTGTTTCATCCTGCCATATTTTATTTAGAGACAATGTTCAGCACATTAGCACGACATGTGAAGCTGAAAAAAGACATTCTTCAGAATCTTTTTACTGGCACCCATACACAAAAGAGATTCAGAGGTTCCAATGAGTACTTTGGACACTTTCTGACACTAACATTATAATCATAGAAGAGCAATAGAAGAAAGTCACGTGAGAGAGTAGTATCGGCTCCACAATTTCGATTCACTTCAAAAGAACTTTGACTTGGACTGACTTAGCCGTTCAAACTCCAAGCGAACCAAGAAGTTTTTTTAGACGTACCGTCTTTCAGCAGTAAGAAAAGAAAATGGAAAGTAAAACTAATGAAACTCACCGAGGCATATAACGCTTATTGCTGAGAACAGCAAGATCGTGGAGACTCGGGACATCGTAGCTGAGCTGTTGTTTCTCGTTGATTTGTCTTCTTCTGACTTTGCCTTGTCTTACTAGAACAACTTATGGAGAGATGATGACGGAGACGGAAGCTCTTTCTTATATATTAGGCTTCTCATCGTTCTCAGATTGTGTTTTCAAACATTTCACGATATGCTTTGGGCAAATTCTTTCAATATCCCGACACAATCTGAATGTTTTGTATACATCTCAGGGGAGTTAAAATAACTGTTGCTGTCACTGAGATAAGAACGGTTGGACTTTTTGAATGTCGCAATATCCTCAGTTCAGTATTTTATTTTGTTTGATAAAGAAGGCAATGTGAGCAGTTGACATGGCGTCGGTGGTCTAGCGATTAGGATGTCAGGCTTTTAACCGAAAGGTCATGTGTTCGAGCCCGAAATGGGCCCGACGTTACGTTCTTAGAAAAGGCAGTGAACATGAATTTTTCTCACTTCATCCACTTGGGAATGGGTACTCGACTATAGACGGCGAAATATCTTGTCAGCTTGTTAGAGTTTAAGCGCTTAAACGGCTGCTTGTTCTTTATTCTTCCCGTGAAGCCTGGAACGTTTCAGAATGTTTTTGTGTCAGCTGGGGAACTAGATAACCTATTGTAAAGTACAGCACGGTGCGTAACTGGACTTTTCTGAAGCTGAGCACGACATGTTCCCGAATAATCACCCCGCCCATTCCAAAAGGATCGTATCTTGAGCTTGGAGGAGTGTTTATATCTCATCCCTCTTCCATAATCAGTATACACGTCTACAGGCTTCATTTTCATTAATTATTACTGTTATTATTACTATTATCATTATTATTTTTATTATTATTATTATTATTATTATTATTATTATTATTATTATTATTATTATTATTATCATTGTTATTATTATCATTATTATTTTTATTATTATTATTATTATTATTATTATTATCAATATTATTATTATCATTATTATTATTATTATTATTATCATTATTATTTTTATTATTATTATTATTATTATTATTATTATTATCATTATTATTATTATTTTTATTATTATCAGTTTTGTTGTTTGTTTATTTGTTTTAGTATGTTTTTGTTTTTGTTTGTTTTGGGCTTGTTGTTTTTTTTTTGGGGGGGGGGGGTGGCGATAGTATGTCTTTCATAGTTTAATCTTCTTTTATAGAATTATTTTTTTCAAAAACAAACACGAAAAATAACTTTTATACTTGTCCTTATAGTCTTTATTTTTACAAACTGTTGCGACCGCTCGTGAATATACGGGATTGTTTTAAGTGTAAATTAAAGTAGAAAGAATACTCTTGTGGTAATACTTTTCACTTTTAGTTTTACAGAAACTAGGCACGACCTCTTTTTGCAATCCATCTCTTAGGAAAGGCTTTGTTTTAAGTACACGAGCAAGTGTGTAGGGACGCTATTTTTCTGAAAGAATTTGTCTTGTCTTTTTTCTTTTTTTTTTGTCTTTTACAGTACTCATGGGACACTTTTAGCATTAATTTCTTAGTTTGGTAGGAATTAATTTTGAATTTTGTTCGTGTGACGTTAAAAGCCTACTGGGACTGGGATCGATTATAGGACCTCCAAAGGATCTTTAAGGTGCAGAACTTGCTCGTGGGACTTCTGAGACTTTTTTGCCCTTATCCGAGAAGGCCTACCCTAAGATCAGGAGTGTGGTTGAAAGACAACAGTAAGAAGAAGCTAAAGAGTAAAAGTAGAAGGGCTGCAGAAAGAGTCAAAAGCCAGAAGGAGTGGGTAAATGGGGGGGGGGGGGGAAATTTTGGGGGCAGAAAGTTGTGACGAAAACAGATGACAGAATAATATGGTTAGAGAGCAGGAAAGGAGGTGAAAGGGGAACATTTCAGAGGAGAAAATTTTCCGTCGTTGTCAGGTTTCGAACCCGGGACCTATTGAATGAGAGTACCTCAAGATCCACGAGAGCGCCCTGTCTTGTCGTCGACGAAATGGAGCCCTCACAAACTAGTTTGTTGCGTGGCACACAAAAAGAAGCCTTTTCTCCTTACAGAAGGTGTTCGTGACCTGCGTGTACCCAATCTTAAACCCCGTGTCAGTTTTTCTCTACCTAGATTAATAGACACTGGTTTTCAAGGCGAAAACATTGGCGGGATGGCGTGAATTTTTTTCTGATCTCGTTGGTCCCAAATTGTAGTCGAGATTGATGTATTATGTTCTGAAATCGACAATATTTCCATGTACATATTTGAAGAAGGTTTCCATGGTAGTGCGTGACCTTTACGTAAAAGGTTTTCAATGGGGGGTTGGCAGGTGCTCTTCTGTAGTTTACGCCTCCTTTTCTCTCAAATATCCATCATACCTATCTTTCTTCCATCTTTTCTTTTTATATTACTCTCCAGTGGCACTTTTAAACTTCAGCGCTTACCTAACCAATGCAAATGCCGTAAAACTCTTACTGAAATTAAACGTAAGTTTTCAGGATGATGCACGACTGTTATTAGGAAGGTTTTCATGAAAGTGCACAACTTTTATTAAGCTTTCAAAATGGATCAAGCAGCCGATTAAAGTGCTCAAACTCTAATAAACTGACAAGAATAATACGTGTGCACCGTAACGTCTGACCCCCGGCGGGATTCGGACTCGTAACCTATCATTTACGAGCCCAACAACCTAACCACTCGACCACCGACGCTATGTTAACTGCCCACATTGCCTTCTTTATCAAAACAAAACGTAAATTGAGCTGAGGATTTATTGCAGCATTCAAAAAGTTCCGCCGTTCTTATCTCTGTGACAGCAACAGTTATTCTAATATCCCTGAGATGTAAACAAACACTCAGAAAGTGTTTGAAAATTCAAAGCATTTGCCCAAAGCAAATGTGGATTGTTTCAAAAATAATCTCAGAACGATGTGCGTTAAAGAGAGAGCTTCCATCTCCGTCATCATCTCTCCATAAGTTGTTCCAGTGAGACAAGGCAAAGTCAGAAGAAGACAAATCAACGAGAAACAGCAGCTCAGCTATGATGTCCCGAGTCTCCACGATCTTGCTGTTCTCGGCAGTCAGCGCTCTTTGCCTGGGTGAGTTTCATTAGTTTTTCTTTACGTTTTTTTTTCTTCTGTTTTTTTTCTCCAGTTGCAAATAGTAACATCTGCTGTTACGGGGGGGGGGGGGGGGGGGGGGCTACCCCTGAAGGCTATCTCGCTTATTAACAGACCGAGTTTAACCAAATTTCACACATATAACAAGCATAGTAAGGTGTCTTAAAATCTGAAATCAAATTTGAGAAAAAAAAGTTTCGTTTCCATGGATACGGCGGCCATATTGGATTTTGTTGACATGTCTTACGTAATGAATACCGCTGTTATCGTTCGTGGAAATTTATTGTGTTTTTTTTTGCATGCGTGTTTACAAATATTAGATCTAATAGTTTTTCTGCTATTTTTTTCCAAAACGAATTAGAAAAAAATTTAATGTATTTTTTCCTGAGGGAGCATGTCAAGGTAAGAAGTAAAAGGGTTTGGGGGTTTTTTTGGCTACGAAAAAGTTACACGTAAGCCTTGTGGTGCCACGAGGAAGAAATCATGTGAAACGAAAGTATTAGTTAAATTACGTTAAAAACCGAAAAAAAACTAAAATGTTTAACAGAAACGAATGGTTATGATACAAATCAACATACTGCTGGTATATTATAGAACTAATTGAGTGAAATCTAAAGCCAAGTTTACTTTTATTTACTTATTGTTGCACTACAAAACGCTATGGCTTAAAGGCTTGCATTGATCTGAAGGCTGTGCCATTTTCACTATAGTCACAGCTTGTGTTTTTTGTTCCATCATCTGGGCAAGTGTGACCATCCTTTGTTGATGAGTCAGCTGAGTGAGCATTTGGTCTTTTGCTTCACCGAGCCACAGTTTCAAATCGTATATCCAAATTCACAAGCGTTCTCGAAGATGTTAAGAAAAGGAGTGTAGGGGGTAGATTACGTCTTCCCCAATCTATTGATGCGTTGCCATTTAAAGCCTGCCTTTGGGCACGAGCATTGTTACATACAAAGCATACTTCGTTGTGGGGATTGTTGGACCAGTTTCTTAGAGGGATGGGTTGAAACGAAAGCTGCCATTCCCTCTACTTGAAAGTCGTGAAACACCAGGCCACCCTCGTCACTGACAGCAAATCAGGCCCCTATAGCATCGTGCGATTCGGTCCCTTTCGACCCTGCATTACTCAAACAAAGCATTGACCACTCCTGCTCTTCATCGGTTTCTATTCGTCAACGGCTTGCTACCAGCTTCCTCAATAAAGGCAAATTCATACCGCTAAATGTTCTGCTTCAGCCATGCTGCCTACTGATTTCTTGTTGCTTCAGTCCTATCTGAATTACTTTCCGCGGGAGCTTCCTCGTAATTTTTTAAATGGTGATCAATTCACCTTAAAATTAAACTGCTTATGGTTGTCGTCAACTCAGTTTGAGCTCATTAAAATGCTTTTCACGCTGAATAATCTTTGCGGAGGGTATTTGCTTTTGCTATGTGGCATTTGAACTTGCTAATGTGTTACATTTGGATTTGCTATTGTGTTACATTTGGATTTGCTATTTGTACATTTGAATTTGTTACGCACAATTGTGCACTAATATTTCCTATTGAACATTTGGACTTTCTATGTGGCGTGAAACTTTCTAGATCTATGTGGCATTTGTATTTCTTATGTGTACATTTGATCTGAAAAAAACTATATTTGCACTTTCAACAAGTGTAGCGCAAAGTTTCTAATACTTGATGTACCCACAGTAAAATTAAACGTATAAATCATAATTATTTGTATGAAACCTCGATCCAGTTAGGTATTATTCTTTGTGTACGAAGCCGCAGGAACCGTGGACAGACAAACTTGTCAGTGCTGGTCCTCTATAGCTCGGGTAATTATGTAACGACTGAAGACTATTTCATAACCAAATACTTTGTCGCCAGCTTACACAGCATTATTCATGTACATGTATACATGTATTGAACTGGCGTTTATCTAAAGCGTCTAGAAGTTTGTACACACGGAAGCAGGTGTTATAAAAATGCTCTACATTATTATA